AAAAAAAAAAAAAGAAAGAAAAAGAAATAGATATGAGACGTGTAAGAATTTGAAATTGAGACAAAATTATCATTTTTGTGATATGTTTTGCTACATGTATGACTTGTAAAACTATAATCAAAAGTATTTCTTGTTGAAACACTCATAAAATTGAGACTGAGAATATTGAATTCAGAAATATGTACATGAATATATGGGGAACTGCTAATTGAATGAGGTGGTATCCCAAATTGGTGGAGAAATCATGGATTACTTAAAAATTAATTGACTCTTCATATGGAAAAATAATAGATTTCTACCATCATCATATATTAAAATATTTTTCTTAAGAATTCTAAAAGTATTGAAGACTAAAATGCAAAAAGCAATACTTAATCTTATAACAGTTTTATAGGAAATGTTTTTAAAACCTTAGGGCAGGAAAGAATTTCTAAAACATTCCAGAATACACAGCAGTTCCACTCTTGAGTACAGTAGTCCCTGATTTTCTGCAAGGGATGGACTCCAAGACCTCCAGTGGATACCTGAAACCCAGATAGTACCAAACTCCATGTTTTTTCGTGTGTGTGTGTGTGTGTGTGTGTGTGTGTGTGTGTATACACACATATATACCTATGATAAAATTTACAAATTAGATACAGCAAGATATTTAAAACAATAACATAGGCCGGGCACGGTGGCTCAAGCCTGTAATCCCAGCACTTTGGGAGGCCGAGGCGGGTGGATCATGAGGTTAAGAGATCGAGGCCATCCTGGTCAACATGGTGAAACCCCGTCTCTACTAAAAATGCAAAAAACATTAGCTGGGCATGGTGGCGCGTGCCTGTAATCCCAGCTACTCAGGAGGTTGAGGCAGAAGAATTGCCTGAACCCAGGAGGCGGAGGTTGCGGTGAGCTGAGATCGCGCCATTGCACTCCAGCCTGGGTAATAAGAGCGAAACTCCGTCTCAAAAAAACAAACAAACAAACAAAAAAAATAATATATAATGGAACAATTATTACAATATACTGTAATAGTTATGTGAATATGATCTTTCTGTCAGAATACCTTCTTGTACTGTTGTCAACCGTTTTTGAACTGTGGTGACCACAGGTAACTGAAACCATGGAAGGCAAAGCTCTGGATAAGGGGGAACTACTGTATATATCTATATATCTAAGAAACACATGAACACAGGGAGTCATACTGGTCTGTAGTTGCATAATTCATTGTAGCATGCATTACAGTAGCCAGAAATTGGGAAACATGCCTGTCTCCTGTGACATAGATGAATAAAATGTGATAGAGTAACACAGAATACTCTCTAGCAGTTAAGTGACAAATGAAGTCTATATATTAGCAGAATTTTTAAAAACATTAAAGTGAAGAAAAATGATGAACATATTGTAATGATGCTCCTGTGAATTTGAATAAAATCAACACTAACCAGCTCTAGTACTAAGCATTGGTTATGGATAAATTATATAACACTAAAGAATGGATTGAAAGGGTATGCACTCTATTCCCAAAAGTGGAGTGGTTAACTCTAGGAAGAAAGGAGGTGGAAGGGAAATGTGACCAAGCATGTTAGTTAAAGGATACTTTAATTTTGTATTTATTTCTCACTAAAAAGAAACAAACATTCTAAGTAAACATAAAATGTTAATTCTGGGTGGTGGTAATATTTGTGTTCATTCTATCATTCATGCTATTTCCTTAAACTTCTGAAAATTCAAAAGCTCCAGATAGGAGTGAGGAAGCTGTACATGAAACATTATAATGGACTTAAATTACTAGTCAGATACTAATATTCTATAGAAGATATTTCTAAAATATCTTTAAAATAGGAAATACTTTTTAATTGGAGTGGCAACTTAAATGCAATTAAACTAACATGTCACAAGAGTAGTCTACATAATCTGTACATAGTTCTAATCTGTACATAGTCTTGGAGGACATGATTTGCAACAGGTTCATTGGAGTACATTTAAGGATCCTATTATTAAATATAGGCACAGACATGGAGACAATTCGTTTTTACTAAAACATTTATGAGAAATTTTAATACTCTGCACAACCAGTATTGGCATTAAAAATTAGCCACTTTGAAAATGAGAAAACTGTGTCACTCTTTAATTTTTTTTTAATAAGCCATTGAGTAAAACATTAACTTCTGGATTTCACCTTCACTTTTAACCTGCAGACTAAATTGCTTTCTTAATTATGTCAGACACACTCAAGTCAATCCTAACCCCCTTGTTACCTTGGGAAGATGATAGTGCTGAAAAAGGAGATCTCCCACCTAAACAGTGTTCTCTTATTTGAAGCCAGTCTTTTTGAGAATTTCTGTTTACTTGGATTTCTTTCCACAATAACTTGACAGAGAAAGCGTCTAATGATATTTTTGAATGATGATAAAAATGAGTATACAGCATTTAAACCTTAGACTGATTTTAAATATATTAATTTCTTTTAAACTCAATGCAATGTTAATATTATAGCACTTCTTGTAGCATTTCTGGAGGTTGGTCTTGAGATAAGATTGAAAATGACAGTTGCTGATTTTCTGAGGTAATGTACCCGAATACCCAAATAAAATATATTTATGTGTACATGAATCTAAACTGTTCTATTTCTCATTTTGCTTCACTTCATCTTTCATATTTTTTTAAGTGTTTTGCCCATGTACTAGTGCAGCTTTGAAGTCACCAGAATAACTAGGATTCAAATTCAGACCAAACCAGGAGGACTATCTTTTCATGCCTTTAGTTGGCCATAGTCCTGGACCCAGCAAAAAGAATGATTATGAGGGTCAGAGTAATATGAGCAATTGTTACATAATATTCTCTAATACCGTGTAGCATAAATTTGTTCAGCTGCCCACTTGTTTATTCACAGTTTGCTTATTTGTCAGTATAAACAATGCTACAATAAAAATTCATGTAATCATCCCTTAAATTTCAGTTGTTTTTATTTCTGTGGGTCAGATTTACAGGGAAGGGATTGGTAGATCAAAGGATATATGTTATTTAAATATTTTTAATAGATAACAGAGTCAGGTCCAAAAGAACAACATATCCTCTGCAATCGATCCTATGATACTACTTAATTGTATGCTGCTTTGATGAGTATAAACTTCATTTGCTACCAGATTTGCTTTGTGAATTTTCATATTGTTAGCTCATTTTTCTGTAGGATTATTTATCTTACTGCCCCTCCCTTTTTTTTTCTTGAGTCAAGGTCTGGTTCTATTGCCCAGGCTGGAACACAATATGGCACAATCTTGGCTCACCGTCACTTCCACCTCCCAGACTCAAGCCATCCTCCTACTTCACCCTCCCAAGTAACTGGGACTACAGGCGTGTGCCATCATGCCAGGCTGTAGTTCCTATTTTTTATAGTTGGGTTTCACCATGTTGCCCAGGCTGGTCTTGAAATTCTGAGCTCATGTGATCCACCCACCTTGGCCTCCTAAAGTACTGGGATTACAGGCGTGAACCCTTGCATCCGACCATTTTATCTTAGTGTATTTTTAGCATCAAAGCTAACTATATAGAGAGACTTACAAATAATTGCCTTCTAATTATAGCCAACTTGGTCACACAAAATTTCTTTCATAAATTTATCGTTCATGAATGTTATTGTTAGAGATAGGCATGAGAGAGGCAGGTGAGGGCTTTCCCCCCACCCACTAGGAATGTCGGGTAATGGTTTGGCAGTTATCACACTGCCTCTTTAAAAGTTGTAATTCTAAGGAAGGATAATCTCCTGATGGACCACACACCTGTTAACATTAAGTGTTAATTGAATGCAGGCCCCAGGGAGAATCACCTTCTTGGGCATGCGTGTTAAGAGACAGATTGGCGACACACGACTTTCCGGGGCAGATGCCACCAGAAAAAGGAAAAAAGCCTCAGATGGGCAGGTGTATAATTCCCTAAACACACTGCAGGTGCTCAATTTCCAAGGGTAAGGAAAGCATTGTGCCTTTGGGAAGCCCACTCAAAGGGAAAAATCATGGGAAAGAGGTGAGTCTATAAAGGTTAAAAGTCTCTCTTTTTTTTGGCCATCTTTTCTCTCTCAGACTTTTAGGTATCTGCTTGGCTCTCTTCCAGGTGAATTTTCCTTTCTTTACTGTTCTAAAGCCTTTTAAAATAAACTTCCACTCCTGCTCTGAAACTTGCCTCGGTTTCTTTTTCTGCTTTCCCTCAGTCAAATTCTTTCTTCAGAGGAGGCAAGGGTTGAAGTTGCTGAGGACTTGTATGAATATGCCACTGATAACAGGGTAATTTGGATCTCTGTCACCACTATATCACAACTTATTCAGACATTTAACAGCATGCTTTGACTCTGCTTTATCCTATGCTTTCTTTTAAAAAAAAATTAGGACAAATATTTATCACATAAGATTCTTTTCATACAAAATTAATCTCTTTTCCTTTTTAATTTCCTTACCAAAAATGTATCTTAATATTCATAACTTCACATCGCTCTGCCCTATTGGCTCTTTCTTTTTTATGAGATGGAGTCTCGCTCTGTCACCCGGGCTGAAGTGTAATGGCATGATCTCGGCTCACTGCAATCTCCACCTCCAGGGTTCAAGCAATTCTCTGCCTCAGCCTCCTGAGTAGCTGGGATTACAGGAGGCTGCCATCATTCCTGGCTAATTTTTGTATTTTTTTTGTAGGTTTCACCATCTTGGCCAGGCTGGTCTTGAACTCCTGACACTGTGATCTGCCTGCCCCAGCCTCCCAAAGTACTGGGATTACAGGCGTGAGCCACCCTGTCTGGCCTTACTGGTTCTTTTCTATCTGGTTTCTATTTCCTTCCTAAATCTGTATTTTGAAACAAACTTTCAACAATCTCTGAATTAGACCTATTCTCAGTAAACATTGTTATGCTTATCTTACAATTTTTGTAATCAAAACATTCTCTTTTTTTGGCACATTTTATATTACAGAATTATATAAGAATTTTAACTCATAGGAAACTTGTGAAAGCCTAGGAAGCAAGAAATTTTGAATGTCTGTCACATATCAGTATGTGACAGTGTGAGAACCATTTTACAATTTTTTGAAACATACTTCTTCATAATTTTTCTGTGTATTAATAGATCACACATATGTAGTCTTTTTTGTTTTTGAAGTTTTGAAACAGGATCTAGCTCTCACCCAGGCTGGAGTGTAGTGGCAGTATCATAGCTCACTGCAGCCTTAAATTCCTCAGTTCAATTGATCCTCCTATTTCAGCCTCCTGAGTAGCTAGGACTACAGGGACACACCATCATGTCTGGCTAATTTTTTTAAATTTTTTTGTAGAGACAGCGTTTTACTTTGTTGACCAGGATGACCTGAAATTCCTGGGCTCAAGCAATCCTTCTGCCTCAGCCTCCCAAAGTGCTGGAATTACAGGCATGACCCACCACACCTGCCCTATTTAGAGTTTTTATAAGATTTAAAATGCCAAGAACAAACATTTATGTTCAACAATTTATATTTATAAATGTACTGCAGCCTAAGTATACAGTGTTTATAAAGTCTACAGTGATGTATGGTAATGTCCTAGCCTTCACATTCATTCACCCCTCATTGACTCTCCAGAGCACTTTCCAGTTCTGCAGGCTCTATTCATGGTAAGTACCCTGCACAGGTGTACCAGTTTTTACTTTTTATACCGTCTTTTTACTGTACCTTTTGTGTGTTCAGATATGTTTAGATAAATACTTATCATTGTGTTACAACTGTTTTCAGTATATGTACTGTATTCAGTACAGTAACATTCTGTACAGGTTTCTAGTCTAGGAGCAACAGGTTATACCATATAACTTAAGTGTTGAGTCAGCTATACCGTCTAGGTTTGTGTCAGTACACTCTATAATGATGAAATTATTACACAGTGTTGAAATTACCCAACAACTCATTTCTCAGAATATATCCTTTTTTTTTTTTTTT